GGGTGCTACGGAGAGGTGGGGGGAGACGAACGCGAAGATGAAGAGGAGACCCAGAGAAACTTGGATGACGCGAGAGGAGAAATGAAAGAAGGGTCAGGGGGAGGAAAAGGCAGAGTTCGACTTTTTATATCATGCAGTCATCTGGAATAAAATAATGAGGAGTTGAAAATAAAAGCGCACGACTTAAATAATGCAACCAGCTCCGTTGCACCAGCTGTGCCCGTACCTGATAATAGCGTCAACTTTATTATTTCACGGATCTTCGCGAAGGTACTGCACGTTAACGCCCGTGAAAAATAAGCATCCTTAGGAAAGGACGAGGCGTCGGGACGCTCCGAAAACGACTGTTCCTCTTGAGGAAAATATTTAGCAAACGACGTACTATTCTGCTTCTTGCTGCTGATGCACATCTGTTACCGACTGTCCTCGAACTTCATTTTACTCAGCTGCAAAAGCCTCTGATGAAAGATGAAAATACAAAATATGCGATATATATATATATATATAAAATAATCGACTCCCGAAAGAATCTTCGATGTTATCCGAGGATTATGCAACGTATATTGCAGCAGAGAAATAATAATAATTTCCAAGAAAATACATATCTGCTTATACGATGCCCTCTGTGCGATATTTTATTGAAATTGAAAAAATGTATTATTACAATTTTGATTTTAATCAGGGTACATCAAAACTATTAGTGTCATTTAGACTTCTTTACGTTACCTACGAGACTGAACGCAAAGTGATTTTAAACAATTTCAAATATCCGCGAGTCATTCTTAGCGTGTCACCGTCTTTGTTGTCACCGTCAAATGGAAACGGAATTTCAATTACAGTTTGCATTTTTTGAGATCCGCGGTTAACGAGGACTAGTATTTTTTTCTCTTTAATACAGTACCCTACGCGAACCATATAAAAGTTGCAGCTCACGCTGTGTAAAACACGAGGAAAATTCACGGGTAGTCATTACGCAATCATTAATTCAACACGTGTTTGTAACGATATGTACGATGATATTCGCATAACTGTGCATAAATTAACGAGGCTAATTTGATGGAATAATGTGATGTTAACTTATGTACAATTAACGTCGTAGGTGGCGTTATACCTTAATAACGCGAGAAACGGTCTCCCAAGTGAGTCGCAAGGGCGAAGCAGGATTAAATTTCACTTAGATACGCGATCACTCGTTGCGCCCTATTCGAATTGTTAACGCATTTGAATAACTCTGCATAATGCGCTATGGGATATTACTATAATTATGCGAAAGTTACCACGGAGATATGGAGCAGGGCGAATGCACGTCTGTTACCCTATAACGAGTTACGGGTAATTCCAGTTGGCAGCTGGCGGAAGTGTAGTCTAATCGACTGATAGGCGAAGTGAAAAGCCATATTGGAAAAAGAAGAAAATATGGATATACAAGTTTTTCATAAAATTGTCAAAACGCGTTACAATCGTCAGGCAACGTATTGCGCAAACTTTCGGTTAATCATTTAAATTTTAAACTGAATCGCATACCTTTAGAACAAATTTTAAACTTTGTGCATAGTCGTAATTTTGCTTTTGTAATATTTCGAAAGTCCATTGAAATATTTCATGAATGACGCGTATCGTCGAATATGAGCATCGGGGGGTCGGGCAACGATCACGTTCAATTCGTGTCAATCGATTAGTTTATTGGTGAACGTAATCAAAATATATTCGACGGGTGATAATGAGAACACGAAATAAAATAATTTTTCCGAGAATGAGAATCACGTTTTACGTGTATCGATATCACGACAGCGTGGGTGTTCGTGATTCTCGTGAAATTTGACCACTCGCTGTATAATAACTGTCTAACTTCCGGTGAACTTTCGGCCAATTCTCTGCCTGGTATAAGAGATAGCAGAGAGGCGGATAATGCTTAGGGGTAAAGGACAACGCCGGAAGGACACCCTGGTGACAGTTTCAAAGACAAAGAGATTTAACCAAGAGACGTTCGACGCTCCAAGCGTCACGCAGTTTGCAGAAGATATTTGATGCGGTTGGCATTAGTTAATTTGAGTAGGGACGTTGCGAAAATACGAAGACAGTATGAATTTCAGAATGGAATAAAAATAGAGAGTCGAGATATTTCAAGCCGCAGCTTCCGTTTGGCTGGACCAGAAAAAAAAAATGAAAAAAAAGGGGGAAAAATGTGGGACGACATTCAACTCCACCGCTGCACAGTTCCTGCAGTCGTATACATTATACGTGTATAGGTAATGCGCACCGCTCGTATTCGGCCATTACAAATTAGATTTCTCGAGAAAATGGGAACATTTTCGCGGTAAAAATTCCGATAGACGCAAAACCGTTGAATTTCAGAACTTTTCTCCGACCTGTTAAAAAGGCTAACACATGGACGCATATGACGAAAAAAAAACGTTTTCGAGCATACAGCTGAGACACATGGAAACTTTTCATAACGAAAACGACCAATTAGTGAAGTTTGCCGTAAATTCTTTATGACTTTAGAAATTTACCAAACTCTTTCGACACGCTCAGTGCTTGATCTTTCACCGGCGAACGTCGAGCCAAGCAGGCAGCCAGGTAGGCGAAAAACATCGATCGGCAATTAATACAATAATTACGGTAATGGGCAAGTTCGCGTGCTGCAATTATTGTAACGCTCCGAAGGTAGTTAATTAAAGAAAATTCAATTAAGCCCGGTTTGGAGCCGCGACGGGTGCTCGTGAGTTACCTGCTACATGGTCACACACGTGCCTATGCAGAATTCAGTGCCATTTACATGGGCGTCGGGCATTCGTTAGGGGCTGATAGCCCGCACGACTTTATCAGTTAAAAATATATTCACGCGTCGATTTATTTTTTGTCATATTACATAATATATAACTTATATATATATATATTTTATATATAATACGTCATATATAAATTCATTTTCATCTCCCGTCTCATCGATGCCGAGCGCGAACAACTTTTACAGGATATGCAAGGATAATTGAGATGAAAGTCAACATTGCTGATAAATCGCAGGTTTGAATCGGACGTTATGTGAAATTCAATAAAAAAAGGAAATACACTACCGGGTGACGAAACTAATCTGTCATTGGGCAGGACTAAATGGCCATACCGAAAACGTAAAGTAAAATTTTGAAGACAGTTCGTCAACAGAGACGGAATCAGTGAAATGTATAAGTGAGAGTTTATTAATATCGTGGCTGACGTAAAATAAACAGGAGGGTTGTTTCATTTCGAGAATGATGTTATTCACAGGGGTGGCTTCAAAGAGGGAACTGAATTAAACGTGGAAACGGAATACTAATTCTTGCAATACTCGTAAATTTCGTTTAACATTAAACGACAAGATTTTTTTTAAAAAGCACATATATATATACTACAAGCAAGATCGACGTTGAATTCAGTACACGTGATATTACACCAACGCCTCATACTCGTTATCGTTATTGAACTATTCTTGAACCTTGATACACAATAGAATACGACGAGAAATAAAATTTTTTATTCATGCCTAACGTACACAAATAAATTACTAATGAGATCACATAATTACTAAGACAAACGAGCACGTCGTGAGGGATATAATATAATAATAAAAATAACAAGAGATAAAAGTAAGTTGAAAATGGAGCGAAAGGGGTTGTTTTTCTTTTACGGAAAAGGGAGGGATGGAAATAAAGGAAATAGGCACGTGGG